GTAGGGTGTTTTGCCCAACCAGCTCACTTGTTTTTTGTAGACCTAGAGAAGGCAATTTGACAATGAAGACTTTGTCACTTTTTCTAAATTACATCTCCATTTGATATGCACACTTATTAATCAGAATATACAAATTCAGTTAAATTGGTCATATGTAAGATGTTTGCATATAATGGCTTTAATAAACAGATAGCTCTCTATGAAACAAAAGCAAATGATGATGCAACTGAAAATTCATAATTTTATGAACATTATTGTCTTTAATGACTGTAGATACACAATAAAGGCGGAGCATTGATAATTCAACATATGCTTTTCCCACAAGTGATTTGTACTTTGCAAACATTGATAAGTTTTATGTCACATGTAGAAAACTACTGCAAGCTGTTGTACAGTTGAAACTAGAAATATGACTCATATATGACACATTTACATTTAGAACATTTTTCGGCTTTGAAGGGCTTTGTTCTTCTAGTTAAGACATACTTTTAATTTTACCCTTCACACCTCCATCAAATACTTTCGTTATACATTGTACTGGGAGTTAACCTCTAATAGATCGTCTTTAACTTGTAGGTAATTACCACATTACCGCAAATGTTTTTTTTCCATAAACTTTGACAGTGAACAGCCTGACCTAATTAAAATGAAATCAGTCTCAAACACAAATTGTTTTCAACATCCTTTTGACCGATAATTTACATTTATTCTTCTTTGGTTGAAATTTGTCTTCTTTGGTTCAAATTTGATCCCAGTTAATCTGATTAAACTAAAAAAAAATCTGCGATCATCATGAAAGTTTTCTGACTCCTCTCCTTCAAATAGTCCAGTTTAAGCTTTAATGTGACATAGATCCTGTGGAACTTAGCTAAAAAACATCAAAAGATGGTTTCACACCATATCTGTTCCAATACATGATCCGACAAACTGAGAGGCAAAAAGAAATTTTAGTGTTGAAAATGGTTGCTGATTTTTAGAGTAAGACTCTCCTCTGAAATTATAGGCTTCAACTCTGTTCAACAACAATTTTTGAATATTTATAAGAAACAAATTGTGTATTGCTTAAAACATAATTTTTGCTCCTTTAAAATGAGATAATTAATTAACTATTCAAATTATTAGAACCTATTAGCCTAAGAAACTGATGTCAGTGTTCATTTTCATTTTCAATATTTGTCTTGTATAAGTCATTTATATAGAGAAAACAGTTTTGATTAATACACTCCAAGCAATGTCCAGGCATAATGATAAATATTGACATGTCTTTACAAACTATCTTCTGTTAGTAACTTCTTAGCTATCGCATCTCTCCTTTGAATGATCCATTTAATGTCAGTCCGGTTTAACTATTTGCTCTAAACCATACGTGAATATTCTTTCAAAAATGTTTCATATGCAGTATCAATATCAGTTAGGGTGTCTGTGCTATTAATATTTTTGTTGTCCAAACTGTGAACATTCTGGGACTAAATCGAATGTCCTTAGTCCATAAGGTGTAGATGTACCGCAGGTGTCCGTAGATGTACCATAGATGTCCTCAGGAAAAGACTCTGCATTACATCTACAACTTATGGACAGAGGACATTCTTTTGAAGACCAGAATGTTCACATTTTGGACAGAGTGCAGAGCTCGATGTTAACCATTGCCCGATCGCCCGGGGCAAGTAGTTTTTATTGGTGGGAGAGTACAAATTTCACTGCATTTGCCCACCGGGCAAGTGCAATGATTGCAAAAAAAAATTATCATTAAAAATTACTTTAAAATAACAGACATTCGCTGAAAACGACCCACAAGCTTTGCCAGGGCCATTTTTGTTATTTTGTACACATTCTCGCGTGATTTGAAAAAGGTGAATAATTTAATCTGAGCTAAACTCTGTTTCGAATTTAAATCTCAAAATCAGTGACCCTGACATGCATCTGAAGTGATATTACAATATACCTAAAACTGTTACATTTTTTCTGCATCTGTTACAATATTATACATCATATTTACAATTCCTAAATTTTATCTAAGTGAAAATATATTTTTAAAATATAGTTTTAATCCTTCTCAAAAGAAATCATTATATCAATTCTCTCGTCAATTATTAAAATACTTGAGTTTCTCCTACTGGTTGCTGGCTTTACTGTTAGACCCAATTAAGTTTAATAGACTCTTTGTTGTCACACCACTCCTCAACCTGTCAAAAACACCGACAGAATGAGGAAAAGCAAGTTTGATGAGTAAGATGAGTCATGAGTTCACGTTTTAGGGGAACCTAGTTAAAGCTTAATTACTTTACATTTAGATGGAAACAATATTTTTGTCATGCATGATTTGTTTCATAATCTTTGCAGTTCTGAAGTGAAAACTGAAATAAAAGGGAAATAGGTGAAAGCATGGATTTTCAACCTTTTTTGAGATGCGGCACATTTTTTACATTTAAAATCCTCCGAAACACCACCAAACAAAATGACATAAAATGACACTCTAACAGAGTACATTTAATAGATGTAGTTAATATAGTTTCTAAATGTATTTGTACTCAGTGTGACTCCTGGGCCTGTTTTGATGAACTCAAAAGATGCGCCCCAAGGTTCCCCACCAATCACATTGTGAATTTTGCAGACGACACTAGTGGATGTCGTCTGCAAAATTCACAATGTGAATGTCGAGAGCACTGGTGGATGTGCTCTATTCGTCCTCTGGCATGGGAGCTGGCTCGGAGCTTGTCTGGCTGTGTGTTTCCTGGATGGGGCCGCCTTTGCAGCTGCTTTTTGTATCTCAGCTTCTGTCTCCTTGAACCCCGGTCGGCCTCGGCAGATGGCCGCTCACACTGAGTCTGGTTCTGCTGGAGGTTTCTTCCTGTTAAAAGGGAGTTTTTCCTATCCACTGTCGCTACAAGCATGCTTAGTGTGAGGGATTGTATTTGAGTCAATGAGTCAATGCAATCAACTGGTTTTCATTAGATAGAACACTTTGAATCAATTTGACTGATTGATCTGGTTGAACTTTAAAGTGCCTTGAGATGACATGTGTTGTGAATTTGACGCTATATAAATAAACTGAATTGATTTGAATTAAATTGAATTGGTGGGCCTCATCAGAGACCACAATGACTGGGACTACAGAAAGGAGGTGGAGCACCTGGTAGGTTGGTGTAGAGACTACAGCCTGATCCTGAACCTGGAGAAGAAGGAGATCATTGTAGACTTGATGATGGTGAAAGAATCGGTCAAGTGGTGGTAAACAGCACCAAATTCCTTGAATTGCACATCACAGATAACCTCACCTGGACTGTAAACATCACCTCACTGGTCAAAAGGGCACAGAGGCATTGTACTTACTGCTGAGAATGAGGAGAGACCACCTGTCCTGAACCCATCCTTATGACCTTCTTCAAAAGAACCATAGAGATCATTCTGACCAGGCGTCTCACTGTGTTGTGTGGAGGCTGCACCCCCTCGCATTGGAAGAAAATGAGAAGAGTTGTGAGGATAACAGAGAGGACCACCAGGGCTCCTCTTTCCTCCAATAAAGACATTTAATCCCAGCGCTGTGTGTCCCAAGGTCATAATATCATTAGTAACCCCTCACACCCGAACCATGGACTGTTCTCCCTGCTGCAGGTCCAGCAGGTTCTGCAACGGCTTCTTCCCTGCTGCAATCAGAATGTTGAACTAATCAAGTCTCTGCATCATATTTGAAAATATTTTATTACACTACCAACGAGGCATATTTTTTTTCATAATCCCTTTAAAAAGAACACAACTCAATGTTCTACTGCATTTTGCAACTTATTTATTTATTTATTTTGCGCTGCACTGAACCTTCCCATATCTATGCCTTTTGCACCTTTAAACTGGTTTTCCTTTTATCTACATTCTTGAGCACTGCTGAACTTTATAAATGGTAATGTTCACTTCACTGTTGTAAGCTGCTCATTCACTGTTGAAAGCTGTATGTGGGAAAATTTTGTGTATACAAAATTACAATAAAGTTTGTCTACGTCTAAAAAGGATATCCTGGAACTTAATTAAAGCTTAATTATTTTCCATGTGTAGTCAGACATTTATAACAATTAGATGTGCATCATTTAGCTTCACCCTCTCTGTTTGAGCTCTTAAACTCATTAAATAATAAAAATGAGAAAGAATTGACTTATATTACTCTTTATGCTGACTCTGCTTCCATTAAACAGTTAAAGTGAGTTGAAAATGTGATTTTGCTCAACATTTCAATCTAGTTACAAAAGCTTGTGTTACATGAAAGCTCTTTCTCAAATTATTTTGTGTGGTTAGATAGTTGATAAGTTACTACAGGTATATATATATATATACCTGTTCATATATATATATGAACATATATATATATATATATATATATATATATATATATATATATATATATATAAACAGTGATCATATTGTATTGTTGTTGCTTACAATGGCCTGTGACAATTTTTCCAATAATTAAAGGAATTATATTCACTTTTTTTATGAGCCTCTCTATAGCCTCTTCAGGGTGTTTGCACATTCATGTGTTTGTGCCCAACCAGTTCACATGTTTTTTTGTAGATCTAGTCCTTTTGACAATGTCCTTCATTGGCCGTGAGAAAAAGTGAATATGGAGCAACATGAGATGGGATGTTATGTGGCAGAAAGGTGTTTAATATGTGCTATTGTTCATCAAAGATGCTTTGTTTTGCGTTGAAGAACAGATCACACACTTTACAAAACAATCTTTTTACAGAGATAAAACTAACCCAAATATTTGCTGTCAAATTATCAGAGGCTCCAGATAAACAGAAAGGATAAGGATAGCTATTATTAAACAAGAAAAATGTGGCTAAATGTTTTAACTAGAAAGCTGTGTGGTAATATATTAGTGTTAAAATATGAGGAAGCATTTGTGCTTCATTCTTTCAAGACAATTAACTGTTAAACACAGAAAGTTGAATTTGTGCCAGCCATCCATCTATAAAAGCTGCGTCGCAGCTCTGTTTCTTCAGTCGAGATGTCAAAACATCAAAGAGGCACATAGAAAAGGTAAATTTAGCCTTTATTGCAACTAATAATTTGTTACGTTTAGCAGGAAAAGGAAAGAAATTGCTTTCAAAAATCGTATATTTTACATAAGGCTCTGGGTAAAAAATATTCTTGGTTTAAAACTTTTTCTTGATAAACATTATTAATAGATCATGATTGTCTATTTTTTATACTCCCACCTCTAGCAGATTTCACTTTCAAGATTTGAAGAACGGCAGGCAAAATGATTCTGCCTTTACTGCTTCTATCGGCTATAGGTAAGTATATATTGAAGACAACATGAAATTAATCTGATGAAACCTGAAATCTAATATGCCATCAATCTGTTGTTAAAGATAATCTTTGTTTTATATATATATATATATATATATATCATCAATATTGAATGTAGATGCTGGTGACATATCTTTGGCACTATGATTTTATAGCATCAATAAATGTAAATATATTCTCTTCTTGCAGTCACTTCAGCCTCCTAGAACATTATTTCTTAACTAGAACAATGATGTATTATAAAATGCAGCCCCCCCAAACACAGTTGGGTTTGATCAATTATTTTAATATCTTAATAATATTATCATTATAAAATGAAAAAGAACAGCAACAAAGAGTTACTCTAACATGTACATTACAATTCAAGCTCTAATTGTAGATGAACTTGTCAAATGTTTGGTTAAAGGAGGCATCATAACCTGCTATTTTACATATACAATTGATCTAAAATTGTGTTTAAATTTAGATTTAATAATTTTTAGGACAAAAAAAAACAACTACACTGCTACACATTACTGGTAAAAATGGTGGTAACTGGTTCTGCTGGAGGTTTCTTCCTGTTAAAAGGGAGTTTTTCTTCTTCACTGTCGCTACAAGCATGCTTAGTGTGAAGGATTGCCTTCGAGTCAATGAGTTGATGCAATAAATTGGTTTTCGTTAGATAGAAAACTTTTAATCAATTTGAATGTATGATCTGGTGAACTGTAAAGTTCCTTGAGATGACGTGTTGTGAATTGGCGCTATAGAAATAAACTGAATTGAATTAAAATGTTACACAGGCAGAAACATTTATCTGCCGCCCCCTGATAAGCCTGCTTGTTGGAATCATGCCTTTTTGGTGGAATAGAGATGTGAGTGGCGATAGTATCCCGAGATAAAGTAACCACCCATTCAGGATTGACATCAACACAGAAGATGGACCAAAATCGAGCATTATGGAAAGTGCAAGCATCTTGGCTTTACTGATGTGAACAACAAGCCCACACACACACATAGAAAAAGCCACTTTCACACTTTTAGTTTTCCAGGGGGTTTTATTGAAACCAAACACCAACAGACAAGCTTTACAACGAAAAAAAGTCAGATATCTGTGTGATGACTTCTTCAGCGACCACCATATGTTATTCAACCTTTATTTTATTTTCCATTTTCTTTGTTTCTAATAATAGAGAAGATATAATAGAATTAAAACATGGGCACTTTAGGCATGTCATTATCCACAGATTCCATTTTCCTCAAATATCTAATGCAGTTTGTAGAACCCCTCTACAGAGTTATTAAATATAATCAGAATCGGAATACCTTTACTATCTTTAAATACAGTACAATGAGATTAAATGCCACAAACATAAACGCAAAGACAGAATATAAAAAAAGTATGTAAAATATATACAATTAGAACATGTAGCTCAAAAGTCTTGTAAATCGGGTGCATATACAGATATATAACAAAAGAATAATTAGCAATTTTGCAAGTACCATATTTTGTCCATTAGTGATTGAAATATTGCACATGGTTTGCTATTGCAAGAGGGAAAAACCAGTGCATGTCAGAGTCCAGGGATTCATTTCAATAAGCAGGTTTAACAAAGTCAGATTCAAGTCCTCAACTCTAAATTGATTTTGCCTAAGGTCGGGAACTCTGAGTTTTTGATTTCACAACAGCTGCTGTGAAGTTTAACACGTGCATTACAAGTGTGAAGATCTATGATCAGTGGATCCCCAATTTGACAAGTCACCATGATGACAGACAACAGGAAGTGCCTTGTTTACCCCACTGTAACTAGACATTTGAATGCAGAAATTTAAAAAGAAAAGAAGAATGTGTTTAAAATACAAAGCAACAGTCCTAAATCTGCAAAGCGGAGGAAGATGGTGAAGAAGAAGATTTCTGCTTGAGTTTTGGTTTATATGGATATGACTATGGCAGGCCGTTTTAACATTTATTAAAAGCACTCTCCTCTGTGTTGTTCCGTTTGTAGATAACTAAAATAGGATTCTACTTGATCAATATAACATCCCTAGTCAGAACTGTAATAATAGGGGTTCTAAATAAAAAATTTTGCAGCAGAAACTGAATTTCAGAAAGCCTAAAAAATGTAATTTTACGAGTAAGAATTATGTTTTCTATATCTAGAAATGCTTACACATTTTAAGTGGCCGTTTTGACATTCCTCAGCTTGTCTGAATATGTTTTAATGATATCTGAAATACATTTCTTCATTGTCAAAATAATACAAAGGATGACCAGTTATAATAACAATATTGAGATCTGTAGTTCATGTCTAGACATCCTGAAAGTTTATTCTAGATTTGAAGAATGTCATTTTGTTTGAAATTGTAATTTTCAGATCCAGGATGGGAGCTATATTTGATGACTGCCTTGGCTTTGCTAAGGCAGGGGGAGGTGTAATTCTCCATTAGGGAGGGGAGAGGGGAGGTGATGATCTTCTATGCTGCCTTAAAAACTCTACGCAGCCTCTCCCTGTCAGTCGCCATACCATACTCTGATGAAGGATGTCAGCTGGTTATTGATGGATGAATGTTAGAGGGTCAGCAGTAGGTCGGAGTTGAGGTTGTGTTTCCTTAGGAAGTGTAGCCGCTGCAGAGCCTTTTTAATGAGGAAATGATTATGAACACGTATTCCTTTGTATTACAGGGAAAATGTTGAACAAAAGATTTGAATGTTCCAAAGGAAATTTGTTTTATGTACTGCCATTAGTAATTTCTAATTTATTTGACATGTTTTTTTTTTTTAGGTGCAGTGACAACTCAGGCTTCAGGTAAGCTGAATCATAAATGGTATATGGCCTGTACTTATATAAGTCTTGAAGGTGCTTTACACTACATTCAGTCATTCACCCTTTCACGTACACAAAAAGTACAATTAAATCGCACACACTGGTGATGGTCACAGCTGTCCTGCAGCTAACTTACAGAAGCGAGGTGGCGTTCACTGGTGCCAAAAGGCCCCCTGATCATCATCAATAGGTAATGCAAATGAAGTATCTTGACCAATGACACAATAACAGAGCTAGAGCTGGGGTTTGAACAGCCCTTGTACAACACTCTGGTTGCAGGGCTAACTCCTGCATCGTAGGCAACTCTCACGTTGTATTTATAGAAAGGATGTATTTATCTAAGTGTATATGCTAGAGAGCTTTTTTAATGATGACATGATGATGAAAAGAATACACCATGTTACAAAACCAAAGAAAATGACTTTTATGTACAGCCATTAGTAATTTTAGTTTAATCTCAAACAATATCTGCTTGTTTTTTGTAGGTGAAGTGACAAATCAGACTTCAGGTAAGCTGAAGGCTTTTTTGATCTATCTATCTGTCTTTCCATCCATCCTACAGTATCCTTAAGTAATAGACATAACCTCTGGCTTACATGGCACATAGAAAAAGAGTCTAATTAAACCAGGTACTGTCTGTTATATCTTTTTAGGATCACTCTACCCGATTAGAGGAACACTAAGCTATCGATCTGACGATGGAAGCTCCCCAGAAATATCTCTCCTCCAAACCTTTAACTTCTATGGAAATGCTCACTCCAAGATTTCTGTATGTCAAGCCTATTTCTAAAACTTAAAGTAACTTTTAATTTTAATCGTGAAGAAAATTATTGAAACATTAAAAATGCCTAATTTGATTGTTGTTGTTTATTGCCAGGTGAACCACAATGGACATCTGACCTTTAATGCACCATGGTCAAGCTATTCTCCTCAAGAGTTTCCATTGCATGGAAGCAGAGACGTCATTGCTCCATTCTGGACCGATTTAGACAACACAGGAAGTGGCAACATCTATTGTGATCAGCACACCAGTGGCCCTATTCTCCAACAAGTTACACAGGACATAAATACATACTTCCCAGCACTAAACTTTCAGGCCAACTGGATCTTTATTGCAACTTGGCATGAGGTTGCCTATTATCCAAGGACTGAAACAGTAAGTGATTTAATTTTTTGACAACTGAAACATATTATATGAGTGATATTGAATAAAACCCATTCCAAAAAACTACCATTTGTTTTTCACAGCAAACAACCTTTCAAGCGGTCTTGGCCTCAAATGGGCAATACTCATTTGTACTGATAAATTACGGGTCCCTAGCATCGACATCAAGATCTGTACAGGTTAGAGACATTCAAAATAATCCATGCTACATACTAAATTATTTGCTATGTATTTATCACTGTCTTTTTTTCCCCCAAAAATATGATTAAAACATAATAATTTATGAATATGAATTTTCCAGGCTGGATATGACACGGTCAATTCCCCTCACCATTTTACCATCCCAGGATCATTCTCTGTAAATGCAACCGGTCCCAACTCTGTTTTAAGTCTTAATAGTAACGTCAATGTACCTGGCCGCTGGGCTTTTCGCGTAGATCAAGGGTCAACAGGCTGCACTTTTAATGGTAAGAACAGAGGGTCTTTTAATGTACCTCTTTATAAAGATAACTACATATATCAAGGGGTAAAAGAAAAAAATATTGTCTATGTCTCATGGTGAAAAGTGGGGTCATTAATCATGGTGTAGTGAATACTAAACAACCTTGTTCTTCTTTGATAACACTTTTATCAGTCTTTGATTTTAGAAAAATCAAGTTAAATTCAAACTCAAAATTAATATTAGTTAACAGGATAAAATAAAAGCCTTAAATGTTTGACTTTTTTTCTTAAAGGTCAACCTGTTCAAATTGGTGACTCTTTCTGGAGTGACAGCACTTGTGCACAGAAGTGTACCTGCACCAGAGCAGGGCTGCAGTGCTCCAATGACCCCTGCTCCTTTTCCCAAATTTGTCGGCCAGCTTCCTTTCAGTACTCCTGCCAGACAGTGCGAAGACGTACCTGCACCATCAGCGGGGATCCACATTACTACACCTTTGACAATGCAGTGTTTCACTTTCAGGGAACATGTACTTATGTTCTGTCAGAACAGTGTCAGAATGAGCTGCCTTACTATAGAGTGGAGGGCAAGAACGAGCACCGTGGCAGCACTCGAGTTTCTTGGACACGACTGGTCAAAGTCTTTGTCTATAATGAAACTATTGAACTTGTTAAAGGCCGTCGGGGTCAGGCTAAGGTAATAAGGACTACTGTTATGTACAGTAACATATACTATTATGTTATTTGTATGTTATTTGCATGTTTTGTTTTGTCATTATTTTTTGTTGCTTTCAGGTTAATGGAAACTTTCTCACAGCTCCATTTTCCCTCAGAAATGGCTCCATCCAAGTTTATCAATCAGGTTTTTCTCTGATTGTCAGCACTGACTTTGGTGTGATGGCGTCATATGACATGAATCACTATGTCCGCATCCGTGTGCCCTACACGTACCAGAATAACACCTGTGGCCTATGTGGAAACTTCAACAATGACCGTGAAGATGACTTTCGAACCCGTGAAGGTGAAGTAGTGAGCTCTGATGTGGTTTTTGCAAACAGCTGGAAGGCATCAAGGGATGATGAGCCCGGCTGTGAGGCTCAGTGTGGAGGATTGGCCTGTGCCGCCTGCTCAGCAGATCAGTCAGCATTGTACAGAAATTCTGCTCACTGTGGTATTCTTGAGGACAGTTCAGGGCCGTTTGCTGCCTGCCATCAACAACTCCCTCCAGGATCCTTTGTGGACAGCTGTGTGTATGATCTGTGTGTCGGCGGAGGGTATCAACCCATTCTGTGCCAAGCGCTTGACGTCTACTCAAGTCAGTGTCAACAAAATGGTATTCAGCCACAAAGCTGGCGGAGTACTGACTTCTGTGGTATGTCTGTTATTCAACTTAAATTATTTCAAATATCTCCTGTAAAATTTCCAGTGACTTAGAATAAATGTCTGTTTCATTTAGAAATTCCTTGCCCAGCAAATAGCCACTTTGAGGCCCAAGGTACAGGATGTCCAGCCACATGCGTCAACCCTAATTCCACCCACAACTGCCCCCTTCCCAATCAGGAGAGCTGTGTCTGTGATTCAGGCTACATCCTGAGTGGTGGTGTCTGTGTCCCTCATGCTGAGTGTGGCTGCAGCTTTGAGGGTCAGTACTACCGCTCAGGAGAAACTGTCATATTGGATGCAGACTGTGGGAGGCGCTGCAGTTGTAGCTATGGCTCCATGAGCTGCAGCCCTCACAGCTGTGGTCAACATGAGTCCTGTACAGTGGAGGATGGAGAAAGAGGTTGCAAACCAAACAGCTTCTCAACATGTTGGATAAGAGGCCCAGGATCATATCAAACATTTGATGGGCTGATGTACCAGTACCCTGGAGCATGTCGCTTGACACTTGCCAATGTCATTGGATCTTCAAATCACTCACACTTCATGGTAACCATGGAAAAAGTTCCAAAAGGTGTCCAAAATTTTTCCAGAATCCTAAACTTTGAGGCAGAGGGAACACGCGTTGCCATTGAGCTGTCAAGTAGTGGCGATGTTCAGGTGAGTGATTGAAATAAATCTCCACAGATGAATCAAGCAAAAAACATGAAATCAGTTTTTTTAAAGATTATTTTATAATTTTAACGTTTAATAAAGCTAAGCAAATATCACAAATGGGATAGAATTTTGATCTGTTCTGCTAATACAATGAATAATAAACCACTATTTTGTATTAACTTTCAGTGCTTGAATGAGATCGTTTACCCTTAGTAAATGAATGTCAAACAGCTACATGTTTTAAAAGGGAAAAGTTGTAACCTTTCATCAGCACATTTGAACAGATATCTGTAAACTATTAAAAATGCAAACTCTTTTCCATACATTTTGGATTATTCTGCACATTTTTCCCCACCCAAAACTGTTTAAAATATTTTTACTTTTAATGTGTTAAAGGTTGATGGTCAGCTGACCAGACTGCCCTTCAGCTCTGGGTCCAACAGAATCCGCATCTTCCAAAGCAGCACTCAGAGCATCATCCTTCGTACAGCCTTTGGTGTAACGGTGCAAACCACCTGGCCTCACTTTGTAGGTATCACTGCACCAAGTGTCTACAGTGGGTTCTTAGGTGGACTTTGTGGAAATTACAACGATGACCAGCATGATGATTTCCGCACTCCCAATGGCACTCTGGTCAGTGATTCTCAGATGTTTGGGAACAGTTGGCGAGCTGGATCCCTGGCAGATCATTGTGTGGAAAGCAGATATCATAACTCTGCAGCCAATTTCAGTTCCAGAGAGTACTGTGGAGTTATTAGCTCTAACACTGGGCCATTTACATCATGTTGGGGTTCAGTGGACCCAGGGCTGCAGGTTAATGCATGTGTGGAGATCCTCCAGGGCTCAAGAGATCCAGCTTCAAAACTCTGTGAGGTCCTACAAGATTATGCACTGATGTGTCAATACGATGGGGTTTCCCTTGGACAATGGAGGAATACAACTGGCTGTGGTAAGATTTTGAGCAACATTTGATTGAAATGCCATTTAAATGGAAGCATTTATTTGTTCTTTTTAAATAGACTTGTTCCTTTATTCCTCTCCAGAACTTACCTGTCCTCCAAACAGCCACTATGAACTTTGTGGAAGTTCATGTCCATCGTCCTGTCCCAGCCTCTCTTTCCCCTTCACCTGTGACACTCAGTGCCAGGATGGGTGTCAGTGTGACGATGGGTTTGTTCTGAATGGTAACCAGTGTGTCCAACCAACATCATGCGGATGTTATCATGAAGGGCGCTATCGGCAAGCTGGTGAACAGTTCTGGGATGGTGAAGAATGTCAGAGCTTTTGCACCTGTAATGGTGTTACTGGTGTAGTCCAGTGTTCCCCCAACACATGTGGACCTC